AGGATACAATAGGGGCAACTAATGAGATTGAACCCTTTTTTGTTGACTCCCAACATGCGGTAAGGCCATCTAATACCAACTTAATCACTCTTCTGGTGAGAGAGTCTCACTTACGCTCGAGCACTGAGTAGGAGCCTACTACGGAGTTAACCTCCGAAAAGCAATTTGAAATTTGCAATGAAAAAGATTATCAAAAAGGAGTTGGGCGATCACCACCCCTTTCAAATAACCAAATGAGGCATTCATGGCTCATATTTCAAAAGGCATTAACGCCTAATGTGTAACATAAAATACTCCATTAACAGGAAAACCATTATGAGCCTATCCGTCTATACAGAAGACTGAGGGATTAGGAAATTGCGAGTGATTTGTAGTCTCAAAATCAATGTTCAAGTGGAGTAGTTTAAAGGAAAAATTCAACAGAAACTCAGCAACCATTGTCAAAGAGATTTTGGATGCCAACCTGGGTTTAGGGAAATCAGAGGAAGATCGATATTTGAACCTCCCTGCCACTTGGAAGAGGGAAATATGATCAAATTCTTATATGATCTTAATGTGAGTTGCTAAAAAAAAAATAGGGGCACCTTTTGACTCTTCTTCTTCCTCTCCCTCTTCCTTTGTCACTGTTTTTTTCTTCAAAAAAGAAAAATAAAATCCGCTGGGTTGAAAATCCGAAAGGAACCCCAAGCGTTGGAAAAAAGGCTACTGGGCTGAACACCTGAAACAGGCCTCGGAGGTATAAAAAGAAAATAAATCCGTTGAGCTGAAAATCCGAAAGGAACCCCAACTACCAGGTTGAATACCCGAAGGGGACCCCGAGGCGATGAAAAAGAAGAAGTTCTCTCCTTCCTTCTACTCTCCTAAGTCTTTTCTCTCTAAATATCTTCTCTTCCTCCCCCTGAGTCAAAGTGATGTTAAAAAAAAAATCAATAAACATTAGTCTGATGGAACATTGTTAAGAACCTAGATTGTCTGAAACTTCGAAAGGTGAGTGGTGGAGGAATGAAATCGGAAATCCACAAAGATTCTGAACACCCAGGGGCGGTATCCTGTATCTTCAAGATTCTGTTTCTCTCGAAACTCTAGAGAACTCTCCTTGAATTGTAATACGAGAGCTGAGGTTGAAAGATAAAGAAATACTTGATGATTCCTCGTCCCGAAGATTCAAGCAAGGATACGATACGCTCATATAGGGACCACCAAAGGGGCCACATGTGGAGAAACTGTAAGGCCATCCCTTTTAAAAGCGGTTTTTCAATCTGATTGTTAAAACCCTCTATTTTCAAAACCCTTTTAAAAAGGACTGGTTATGTGCCTTGATCTCGCCCTCAAGATCATGATGATCGGGAGGCACATGTCTCGAGTTTCAAGGAAACCCAAGACTTTGAGATCGCTCTCTCGGGAACTTCGTTCTAGAACAAGGGCAGATATTACCAACCGATGAGAGAGAAATTTAAGGTGGGTTCGGGATTTACTCGGGTTGGCTCGCGTGGGCACCCTCTTAGATCACGAAGAAAGCCCCCCAGTCATAAATTTGGTTCGGAATCATCCCCCTTGGCTTGTATTCTCTTGTTTTCTACAATCACACATATATGACAAATATTATAAGACAGGTGGGTCGACAGACCTTATTTTGCTTTCAAGTGAACGTACAAAAGTGTGCATATTCAAAAAGAAGAAGAGAATAATGAGAGAAGAAAGATGGGGGAGAGAAGAATTTGATAGGCGGGGAGATCAACACAATGACTGAGCTGGTAGGTAATTGGCCTAACGTGGCAGTAAAATGAGCTCGATAACTAAGACCAGCTCAACAGAATTACTATTAGACGTCGATACTGATACTGACTAGCTAGACATGATAGTTAGTCAATCATGGCAATAAAATGGGCACATTAATTCTAGCACAACAACATTATGGCTAGATGACAAGACTACCAAGGAAGGCTAATCTCGACCTCTCTTAATCAAACGAAAGAACAACAGAAAGAATGGAGATCGTAGAGAAAGAATAAGGAATAGGATAAGAGAAGAAGAAGAGAATAAAAAAAGGAGAGGAAGAGAAAGAAAGGAGGGGAAAAGCATGAGAGAAGAGAGAAGGAAGGAGCAAAGATACATATGGCAACAAGAGGAGAAGAAAGAAAATTTGGTCGGCGATATGTCTCTACCGGCTATGACGAGTTAGGAGAAGAAGGTGAAGGCACAGGCGGCAATGTGCTCCCGCCAATGTGACAGAAGAGATAGAAAGAAGGGAACACAAACGACGCTTGACCTTCGCCGGCTGTGGCGGGGGAAGAGGCATGATAGCATGCATGCGGCATTAAGCTTCGCCAATTGTGTTAAACAAAGAAGAAAGAGAAGATACAGGCGACGCTAAGCATCGCCAGTTGTGTTAAGAGAAGATGAGAAATAAGACACATGTTGCACTTAGCTTCGCCAGCTGTGTTAGAAAAAGAGAAGAGATAAGACACATATGGTGCTAAGCATCGTCGGCTATATTTAAGAAAAGAGGAGAGAGAAGGACACAGGCAACGCTAAGCATCGTTGGTTGTGTTTAGGAAAAGAGGAGAGAGAAAGACATAGGTGGTGCTAAGCATCACCAGTTGTGTTAGAAGGAGAGGAAAGAGAAGGACAGAGGCGACGCCAGGCATCGCCAGCTGTGTTTAAGAAAAGAGGAAAGAGAAAGCGAGATAGAGACAAGAAGAGAGAGAAAAAGAAAGATAGAGATGAGAAGAAGAGAGAGATATAGATGAGAAGAGGAGAGAGATAAAGATGAGAAGAAGAGAGAGATAGAGATGACAAGAGGAGAGAGAGATAGAGAGGAGAAGAAGAGAGAGAAAGAGAAAGAGGAGAGAGAAAGTTACCTTATCGAGGGGTACCTGCCCTCTTATTCTCTCTCCTCTCTCTCTCTCTCTCCAAGACACACCCACGAACTTAAGCAAGAATGAAAATTTTTATTGACTGATGGAAGAAATGAATCGAAGGTCCTTTATAATTGGCTTTGCATGTTTATATAGAATTGGGCCCAAACATGGGTGGACGTAAAAAAACTACCTAAAATTGACGATAATTACAATTTAATTGAATTAAAAGAAATTATAAAAATGGGTGCAAAAGGATTGTTTTGCCCCTGCCTAACAATGTGTGAAATTCCAGAACAGTTCATGCTGCTGCCCGAGAACTTACGTGATCTTCCATGACTGATCCGGGGTTGCTCTAATGATCGAAAGATGATTGTTTTCTTGTAGGGCTCGGCACGATGATCGATTTGATACAAACTGCGAATCATGAATTATGTTTTTGAGCCATGATCATGAGACTTGAACTTTAGATGAATCTTGAAAACTTTGGATCGATAGTGCACTCGTTCCTCGATGTTTTTCTGTTGTTTCTTCGATGAACCACATTAAGCATGCCATTATGATCACATTGCAACAGGCACGACTCGATTTCATGTCCAGATGAAGATTTTTTCGTCTTGAGTTTTTAGCTGGAATCTTAAAATTTGGTGGCTGGAATTTACAGCAACTTCAACGCCTCTGTGTGTGAAATCCAACCGTTCATCATATGCGAGGTTCGGACCAGAGATAGCCTTGGACCTTAGACACATAATGCAATTGGTTTCGTTCGATCATGTACGCGAGCATCGTGATTTGGCCACCAGAGTGAGGTGTGCTGCTGCTGAATTTTTTGCAATTTTCTTTACGAATCAGCAACTTCTGCCTAATTTTTCTCTCTGCTCGGGGCGTACCACATATCAAAACGCTCGTCTTACCGAGACGAACACGCTCACCAAATTTGAGCACAATCTAACCCGGATCGAGTGAGATATAGGCCCTAAAAGTCATTGCATGTGACTATGAAAATAACTACCTTTAATGGTATTTTTGGTACAGGATGACCGCACGAGAATAGTGTGGCATACCCCTTTTCGGTATTCTACCCATAACTTTGTCTTGGAGTGCCCGATTAACCCAAAACTTGACCCATAGGGGTTTCCGACCGTGCCCGACCCAATGTGGTTGTCTCAGCCGTTTGATGGACCTAAAATATAGTTCTAGTTACAGGGTCCATTTCAGGGTGCTAGAGGCCCATTTTTTCGAAATTATTTCTTTATGTTTACTGCCTTAGACATATCTGATCGCGATAAAACTTGGTAGGTGGCCTTTTGGAGTGCTGATGAAGATCTTTGACCAGTTTTGGGGCCATTTTGAGACTGTCAAAATTTTCATTGTTTTGTAGGTCCTCTTTATTCCACCTCAGGGACCAAGGCACTGAAAAATGCGTTCAAACAGCATGCCCTGCAGAATATTGTGCTTCGAGAGAAGCGAAAATGACAACATTCAAAAAATTTCCTTCGACTTTATTACTTTTTTCTTCTTAGCCACAAGACCACGTGAACGCCGAGGAGATTTACCCAATGGTACATTGTTCGCAGGTCCGTCCGTGGAGACTTTAGGGGGGAAAGAGAATTTTTTGAGGGATCTTATCGAAGTCCTTACCCTCGTGTGGATTGTTTATTATTTTGAAGCTAAGGATTTTCTATGGACCTCGTTAGTCAGAATCAGGCCCGTCTGGTAATGAGTGCCATGTTGAAGGGCATAGTTCCCATTTGGTCTGGGTTTTTTTTTGTCTTGGATAGATAACAAAAGAGCCTTTGGTTGGCGCTCGTCTACGTCGTGCACTAGTTGTTCCTTGGCTGGTAGGGTACCTCAGTTTATCGAGGTGACCAGCTTTGAGTATAACCCCTACCCACTATTAGCAGATCGTTACATAACAGGTCTAAAGTTATGGCTGACTTAGCCTTCTCACGGCATCTTTTTGGTTTGTCAAAATGATTTCCTTGATTGTTTTCTGAAGAGCCTTTGGTTGGCGTTGTTTGCTGTTACACCAAGTTTGATTTTAACAGTCAGGATACCTCTGTGGGCCCCGTCTACCGGGTCCAGTCTGAGGCATTTTGTTAGTCAGCCTTGAAAGTCTAAGCCTGTCGACTAGAGGAAATTATGGCGAGGCAGACTGAAGTCTCTGGCAGGTTCGCCCTGGTTTTGTCAATTTCTTACCTTCGTAGTGGTCTCTAGCATTTTTAGAGTGTGTTTGTGACCTCGTGTGAATAGTGCTCTTCTTCATGAGACTTGTCTTGCTTTCTTGATAAATTTTCTATCATTCGAGTCTGTGTAACTCACCGACATCTCACGCCGAAAACCCTAAGAAGAAAAATGCCCTAGGTGGATGAGCTCGGTGAGCGCAATGACTTGGAGGGATAGTTAGTGTGCCTTTTGACCACGTGACCTCAGGAAGAAATTTAAAATGTATGCTTTATCTTTAACGTTCAACTGCCCCTCGAAGGACAGGAAATGCCAAAGTATCTACTTCTTTACTACTCACCTATCCCTCCAAGGACATGGAGTGCCAAAGAGGGGCAACTGTAGACACCTCATTTTAAATATGACAAATTCTATGGTTTTTTGAACCCTTAAGACCACATTATCCTAGTAGACCCAATTTAATTACCCCAAACTATACAAATCCTATTCCAATTTGAAGTAGACCCCAAGAGCTTTCCAACGGTCTAAGAAACGCCTGAATCGGACATACGGATAAAAAGATATAATAAATAACAATTTAGTCCATATGAAACCTAACTGTCGGGCTGCGGGCCGGGCTGTAACAGGCCCAGATGAGGGCTGATGATGCAGTCAATGCATCTGATGATGCAGTAAACACGTTTTGTTTAATTAAATAAGGCTAAAACTTCAAGATAAATCCAATTTTTTTTAAAAAAACTTCAAACAATTTAGAAAAAAGCACCAATTGAATCTTATAAATACCCCCTCTCTTTAACCCAAAAAGAGAGAGAACAAGAGACAAAAAAAGTCCTTAGAAATTCTCAAAATTAGGAGAATTACCCAAAAAGCCAAAAATAGGAAAAACCCTTAGAAAATTCCTAAAAATTTAGAAAAAATCCCAAAAAATTCAAAAAAAATAGAGAAAATCTCATAATTCATATTCAACCTTTGGAGATCACAAAACCCTTAGAAAACTAAAGAAATTCTCCTCCAGACCCTGAGAAAGACCGACAGCTTTAGAAAAATCTCTAGATTGAAAACCCTAGAGAAGAAAGAAACCCTAACCTCTTGAAGTCTAACCCCCAAGACTGAGAAAACCTAGACCTAGGGCACAAAAACCGTAGATCAAACCTAGAGTTAGGGCACAACAGCCCTAGATCTAACCCTTTACACCAGAGATCTGTTGGTTAACATCTGAATCAAAAGAGGCAAAGAGGACGGTTCTGATACGGGCAAGCGCTCGAAGGCTCGAAAATCTCGAGCCATCCAGTGGTTAGCTCACACCATACTCATTCTCCTGCAAACATTACTAATCTATTGTTTTATGAACCATCTTGTTATTTTCACGCATCTAACCTCCAATGCGGGAGCATAGCTATGAATGAGAAAATTGTAACTTGAGAGGTAAATCACGCTCGGGATTTGGTCACATTGCCTCCAGATAAGCATATCATTAGTAGTAAATGGTTTATAAAGTCAAGTTACGCTAATGACATCTTTGATCGGCACAAGGCCCGATTAGTTGTTCAAGGTTATGCTCAGGAGCATGACATTGATTATGATGAAACTTTTGCTCCTGTTATTAAGATGACAACTATTCGTACTCTTATTGCACTTGCATCTATTCGTGAGTGACCCATATGGCATATGGATGTAAAATATGCATTCCTTAATAACGAACTTTAAGAAGAAGCTTACATATGCCAACCACCTGGGTTTGCTTATCAAAATAAATCTTTGGTTTATCAACTTCATAAGGCAATTACGGTATCAAACAAGCTCCATGTGCGTGGTTTAAGCGTTTTCGGGCTGTTATTCTTACAACAGGCTTCATTCAAAGTAAACATGATAAGTCAATGTTTATTCGTACCACAAAGCATGGTATTTGTGTTATTTTATTACATGTTGATGATATTCTTATTTCTGTTAATGATTTCACTTCCATCAAGGATGTGAAGCTACGATTGCAAGAATACTTTCAAATGAAGGACCTTAGGGAAGCGTCTGATTTTCTTGGCCTTGAGATCTCTTGCTCTAAACGTGGTATTTATATCTATCAACAGAAGTATGCACTTGATCTTGTTTCTAGTATTCAATTGAATGATGTGAAAGTTGTTGATACACCCATCGAACTCAATGTTAAACTTTCTGTACATGTTGGAGATCCTCTCCTTGAGCCTACTATGTATTGCAAACTTGTAGGCTTCCTCATCTATCTCACTATGACTCGTTTAGATATTGCATATATTGTCCATATTGTGAGCCAATTTATTTCAGATCCTCGATGACCACACCTATCCTCAATTCACCGAATTCTATGCTATTTTGAGTTACTTTTATTCGTGGGTTATTCTTTGACTCCACATCCTCGTTAGATCTTAATGCATATGATGATGCCGTTTAGGCAGGTGATCCAGACACTTGCCACTCTAATACAAGGATATTGTGTGTTTCTTGGATCATTATTACATCATAGAAGAATAGGAAACAAGACACTGTCTCTAAGTTAAGCACTAAAGCTGAGCATCATGTTATGTCCTCTGTTGCTAATGAGATTGTTTGGGTTCGTGCTCTTTTCAATGAGTTGGGTATCCCTATTTCAAATCCCATACCTTTATATGGAGATAACCAAAGTACAATTAAGATTGCATCTAATCTAGTTTTTCATGAGCGAACAAAATGTATTAATGTAGATTGCCATTATGTTTGTTATCACTATCTTGATGGTACATTATCTCTCCCTTATATTTCTTTTGTTGTGTAAAAGGTTGATATTTTCACCAAACCCGTTACTCCGAACCATCATGATTTTCTAGTGGACAGGCTAATGCTTTATTCATGTCCGCATTGGCTTGAATGGGGTAAGAAAATGTATCATTTTCAGTTGTCTTTTATCGTCATTTCATATTTATATAGGGATAATGTGGTCTACACTAAATTTATTTGTATATAAACCCTTTGAGGGTTTCATTTTTTGTTAATGAAAATTGATCAAGATTGTTTATCTCTCTAACTGTTCTTGAACTCTTCATCTTCTCTAAATCTAACAGCTACCATCACAACCCCAACCTTTTTACTTAAGGAGAATAAAACCTACTACATAAAAAAAAACATATCTTATTGTAAAATATCAATATTTATGCTTTTACCCACATATGGAACATAATAAAATTTTCTTCCATACAAGTCAATATATTTGTTATTTTCTTTTTCACACATAAAATGGGTGAATATCCCAAGAAAGATAAGAAGACTTTTCCATTTTGCTAATGTGCGTTTAACTGCTGACAGATAGTGAACGCAATGAACATGAGAGAAAAACGAAAAAAACTTTATTGTGTGGGTGGGGTAGAGAGAGAGAGGGGTAGGGAGTGAGAGAGAGAGAGTGTTAAAAGACTTCAAATTTCGTAATATATGTTAAAATAAAAATATTATCAAAGGGGAAAAAACTACTAACGAGATAGACATTGTACCTAAGCTGTATAAATAGGTAGTTATTGCTCTAAAATCTCTATATAAAATACTTAATCCCGGAACTGATTCACAATACATTTTTACCAAGTTCACAAACGGAAAAAAGCATGAACTATATAAATGTATATGTATGTGTGTGTGGTGAGAGAGAGAGAATTGGATGCACTTTTAGGGATATTTAACCCACCTTCAACTTAAAGCTTCAAAACTCACATGAGTGCTTTGGACATAGCCGATAGAAGCTTGGTCCCATTTTTTACATGATTTTCCACGCTTAAGGGCATTTATCTTTTAAAAAGGTGTCGTATATTTTGTTATTTTTTATTATGTAATTAAAAAGATTATTTAATGTTTTGGAGAGAGAGGGAGGACCACTCTTACTTATGTATTTCTATATACTTACTAGAAGTGTATATCTGACAATCTCCTCTCTCTTTCCTTTCACCTTTGGTACCCATCTCTTAATCTTTTTTTTAATGTTAATTTTGTACCCATCTCTTAAAAGAGATATATATGCTCCCTCTCAAATTCTGTTTAAATTCTCTCTTGTCAAATTCTTTCCTAATCTCTCTCTCAGATGACATTATCTCTCTCTTTAAAATACTCAAGGGGAAACCAATCTATCTTACTCACTATTTACCTACACACACATCTCTACCTCTCTCTAGATCTCCAAAGGTCACATTCAAGACTATTATTTCTCGTTCTATTTAGCATACGACTCCTTAATGCTCTCTATATAGAAGAAAAATAATTACCACTAACTTATAATAACTATAACTTTGTTATTTTTAATATAATTGCATAGTCACTAGTGAATTTATGTGTGATGCACGTTGATATGTAATAGGAGATAGAAGAATAACAAATTATTCAAAGAGCATAGTATTTACAATCATCTACATATAATAAATGGTACTAGAAACTACAGTTGATAAATAAAGTTTATTCAAGTTTATTTTAAATTATATTTAATAGCTGGAGCATTCTGCATACATCATTAGCTAATTAAATTTTAGGAAGCACTGCCTTCAATAAATTTGATTTGCTAGTTTTATTTTATTTTTTAGGGAGCGTGTATATTTGAACATAAGAACGTATACCGTGCTCCAAGGGATCAAAATGTACATTTGATCAGTCAGCCAAACATTCATTCATTTAGGATCTCAAATTTTTAGATTCATTATAGAATGAATTTTGAATTTCTATACACCTATATCTGAATTGAACAGTATGAGCTCATTCCAAGGCACTTCATTTTTTTTAAAGTTTCGCAGTGTATTATTTTTTCCCTTTTTATTTTTGTATGAGTCTGTATTCAATCCTGGGACCCGGTCTTTTATGGCACTTCCAACCTAGTGTTTCTCCCAAAGGACACACTTTCTTTCGCAAAAGCACTTAGAATATACCTTATAGATGCTTATAATGTATTACTGGAGAGCATATTGTATACTTACGCTGATATACTGTATACTTAAGGCTGATAAAAAATCGCTTGAAAGTATTGGGATAAAACTCACTTGAAAGTATTGGGATTATATACCTTGAAAACATTTACCTTTGATACAAGGTGGTCACAATTATTTACAACTATCGTAGGTAAAATTTGATAGCTTGGATGTCTCACCAAGTTTGAGAAAATTTCTTTTGAAGTTTGAGTTTGGTCAATAGAATAACTGCAGCCACCCAATTTCACATCCAATGGTCAAGATTAATGTGACCACCTTGTACCAGAGGTAAATGGTCTCATTCTATATTTCCCCAAAACTATTATATGATTTGTAATTTTGAAGATCCACTATTTTTCTAGATAAAATTTTATAGATCCTCCTAAAAGCATGTGAGTAATTAAAAAATAAAATAAAACTAGAATGTCTTTCTGAAAAGGAAAATGATTTTATAAGCTGCAACCCTATCCAAATAATTAAAGCCTCTACTCATAGCTCATCGAAAATTACAATTCAAGCATCGGAAAACCTTTACATGGATAATCTCGGATTGAAAATTATGGTCGTGAAAAAAATTACGATTTTAAGCTCTAGGAATAATGTATATCTATAATACATTATCTAGACCGTTCATTTTACCCTAAAAATAAGTGTTCATAGATCTATAAGATATGTACTATGTTTTAAGTTTCAAAAATTATTGTCAATGTTGAAAAGTTTAGATTCATCGTAGAGATATTTTGTTGCCAAAAGTGCTTTCCAAACAATAATTTGCGGTAAGGCTGTACTTTGTTTTCATAAAGCCTAAGCCTTATAGAAACTTCATCCTTCTAGTTCAAAAGTTAGATGCTCTATTCAATCTTATAAATTTTTTTTTTATGGGGCATTTACATAAGGAAAAAGTTTATATAAGGTTGCAACTTTAAAATGTAGAATTACATATGCATCTCAAAAATCCATCGAAGAATGTTGTTTTAATGTTGAAAAACCCTCTAATTGATCATCTTGACATCGAGATATATGAATTTGAAAAAGAAAAAAAAAAGATTTTGAGTCCCACAAATAGTGCATCTTGCAACACATTATCTAGACCGTCAATTTTCAGGATTTTCATATATTTATAGATCTACTTGATTTTGACAATTTTTAAGTTTAAAATTTTATAATTAGATATAAAAATAGATTTTGAGATGATCCTAAAAAAATTTTTACACCAAAATTACATATTACAAATTTTTTTGGAGGCGCGCCTTAATTGGATTGTTTAAGGTTACAACCTTATAGAAACGACACTCTTTACATAAGGGAAAAGTTTATATAGAGCCGAGGCTCTAAACAATCAAATTTGAGCCTACATAAAAAATTTCCTTTGAAGAAGTTGTTTTGATGCCCAAATATCATCAAATTGATCATCTCGACATCAAGATGCATAGACATGAGAAAAAAATGGATTTCAAGTTTTACAAATAGTATATTTTATAACGTATTTTTGGACTGTCAATTTTCAAGATTTTCAAGTTTTTATAGATCTGTCGACCTACACTATTTTTGAAGCTTTGAACTCTATAAATAAGGATGAAAATATATTTTGACGCTATCATTGAGAGTTCCAAGATTGAACCACATTTTTCGTTACTATTTGAAGGTAGGCTCTAATTTGATTGCTCAGAGCTTAGGCTCTATACAAACCGTACCCTTTACATAATGCATGTAAGTTCTATACAAACCGTACCCTGTACATAATGCATGTAAGTTTATTGATTTAATCCCAAAATTTTAAGTCTTAAATATACTCCTAAAATAGTATTTTACTCATGGGAACTTATATGTCCTGACCTTGTAATCTTTTGGCATATTTCATTGGTATTCCTGCCGCACGCAAGCTCCCTATGGTATTTTCTTAGCATGCCATAATACATTGTTGATAGCACCTTGCTTTTATTATTGAAAAATTAATTAAGGCCATTGTTTTTGGTAAAGCGAGCTACCTTCAAAACCAATTAGTATAAATTGTTGTGGTATTCGTATTGATCATTTTAATTTCAACAATTATATTTTTTTAAAAAAATAAAATTAATAAAATGACTTAAAACCCTTATATAATGTATATCTTGTAATATATTATCTTGGACTCGCACTTCCAAGTACTTACATATGGAAAGATTGTTTCATACAGGTTGTACCACATTTCTACAATATACAGTCCAAAGGTATAAAGCATCCATCTTAAAAATAGATGAAAATAAGTGGTCAATCTAAAAACAATTATAACAAACGGTTGAATGTTTTTTTAATATAATTATTATTTTAAATTTTAAATTATTTTATTTTTTCATATTCAAGATTTCCATGTTAAATATTATATATTCTTTAAAAATTAATATCATATTATATTTAAAAAATATATTTATTCGCCAGCCTGTATTTCTACAATGAAACGTGTCTTTTATAGATTTATATTATTTTAAAAACTTTAAATACTATAATTAAGATTGAAAATATATTCTGAAATTCTTTATGCATAAGGGGTGCGGTGTTTCGAGATGCAGCCGTGCTTTTTATCGTAGTGCCTCCGTCATACAGAAACCGCACCACTTTATTACCCGTCGATAGAATCCTGGCATTGATGAGGAGGGGGAGAATAAAATAAATGAAACCAAAAACCATGGTTGTGGAAACCATGGTCCCACAACCGTTATCTCTCTCTCTCTCTCTCTCTCCATAAACTTCACCTTCTCTCTCTACTCTATGTTCTTTCTCTCTCTAAGTTTTGTTTCTCTCTCTAGGCTCGAATACCTGTTTCCGTGCCCTTGATTCTTGCTCCCGAAGTTTTCAGACTTCACGCGACATTTTCCCCCTTCCATCTGGAATTCTCTCTCTCTTCTCTTCTCTCTCTAACCTCCTCCAAGTTTCAGAGCAGGAGCTCCTTCATTTCTCTCTCTCTGTCTCTCCCTCCTGTGTCCTCGTGAACTACTGGAAATGGACGAGACAGCCCTAGGCTTAAGGGCCTCTGCTAATGCTTTCTTATCACAATACGAGCCTTTGACCCTCGTCCTTACCCCCGTAGTGGGGCTATTGGTTGCAATTCTTCTTCATTTTATCATTCATTTCTTACTTGAAAATGGGATAAAGCGATCATTCGTGGGACTGATAATGGGAGCTGTTAAGTAAGCCTAACATATTCCAAACTAAAAATGTACATTTTTCTCTGATATTGATTTCAGGAGTTCGTCGTTTTGGTGTTTGTGCTTATTAGATGGTCAACTTTTTGTGCAGGTTGGTTCCTGGTGTAAACAAGTATATTGAAGGGGAGAAACAAAAGGTTAGGCTGAAATGTTTTGGCTTTTTGATTGGCATAACTAGTGTTTATGAATTCGGAAAATTGTTCGCGTTTATGGGTTTTAAACAATTTTCGATGGCCTGTTAGTTAGGGTGTGTTTGACGCATGGAGTTTTTAGGAGCGAAAGGGACTCTCCCACAAATTATGGAAGACTGCTAAAACAAAGCTGCATGGAAGGTCGCCCTTCCTCTTTACAGCTTCCACACAGTATTATCAAACATGGAAGTGGGACATTTAACTCCCACTTCCAGAAACTTCCACTGATTGAAGAAAGTAAAACGGAGTCATTTATGGCTTTGTTAACTTCTAATTGAGAAATCGAGAGCTGATTATTACGATGGCGTGTTAGCTTCTTAATGGGCCCTGTAGAACTGCACAGGAAAACCGATTTCTCAATTACGGTAAACATATTAGACTTTTTTTTCCGAGATTAAAATATCTAAATACCCATATTTTTACGTTTAATTTCGACACCAAGGGTCGTAAAAGATATCTTGGGGTTGCAGATTTTAATTTGTTTTAACTTTTTTTTTTTTTAAGCCAAACAAATTTTAAAAATTTGTTTGTAACTTATTGTTTTTAGACCAAACAAATCTTAAAAAACGTTTTTTATTTCAGACCAAACAAATCTTAAAAAACATGCCTTTTCCCCGCACCTTTCTCTCTCTGTCTTTTCCATCTAAACCCTTACTCTAGCTCCTCCGTGCTCTCTTCACTTTACCATCTATATGCCCTCACTCTCTTTCCTCCCAAATACAGAGTAGGTATACGGAGAGAATGGACAGAAAGAGAGGTATTTGAAGAAGAGAGTTGTTCAGTGTTACGAGGTTATAGGGAGGAGAGGTATTTGGATAAACACAAGATAAAGAAATATTAGGATAAACAGGTATTTGGATAAATATAGGAGGAGAGAGATGCGTGAGAGGTTACCGGGAGGAAAGAGGAAGGTATTTGGATAAACATGAGTAGATAGAGGTATTTCGATAAATACTGAAGGAGAGAGAGTACAACATGCAGCAACACAGATAAAGAGAGAAGTTTGTGGTATATAAATGAAGAGAGATTGGGTTTTGAAATAACATGTCTTTTTCATATATGTTTAGGTTAAAAACAGGTTTAAAATGGCGAAAATAATTTTTGATACTCTAGGTTTATTGAGAAATAAAGATATGGAGATATTTTCCCTTATTTTTATTGGAATGGATGCTTACTATCTGATAACATATTAGATTGGCTTTCTGAGATTGTTTTTATTTATTTATTTATTTATTTTCTCTTTTCAAAGCTGTATGTTGCATTATTTCCTGATTTTGATGTCTATTCGGGTGTTATGTGTGCTTGAGGATACAGACTTTTTGTGGTGCATTCGTGCAGTTTTGTTCCAATTAGTTGGCCGTTATTTAATTCAGTTGAATAAAACACATTGGCTTAGCTACTTATCAAAGAAAAGGGAAAAACATTGGTTAGTTATTAAGTCCCTGGGTTATGTATGCTACTTGAAATTACCCTGTTTGGGCCACTTTGTGCCTTGTGTGAATGATTGAGTCTCTTAATGCCATATAGATTAGGGAACAAAGCATACGCCTGCCTAAGAAGGATATTTCACTTGATAATGAGTTATTTGTGACTTGTTCCAAAGTGGTGCAGTGAACTTGAAGAAAAATATTTTATTGGAAATAACTCCAGGTAACCTATAAAAGAACAAGAAAAAGAAAGAAATATCTCATCTCTAATTCTGCTAGGGAATATCACCCCAATGCGATGGTTTGCAAACTTGTTAATTGACTTGCTGAATTGGGTATTCTTTGTTGGATAGTTCACGAGCTCATTTCTTGTCTTGCCGAATTGAGTTTTCTTAGTTGGATCTTAACTTCTAATGTGAACTATGCTTCAAGAGCAGATTGAAATAAATTTCTATTTTTATTTGTCTTAGTGTATTGGGTTCAAGTTTGACTGAAATTAGTGGCTTGGTATGTTAGGTCAACGGGGTCCTGTGTGCTTGACATAATTTATCATTGTCACGTTGTTCTTTTTCATGGTTATATTGTGTACTTGACAAATATTAGTTTGAACCTTGATATCACAGTAAATTAAAAGGAGTTTGTTTATAACCCTTTCTGCTGTTGCTACACTGGACCTATTTTGTTCCTTACACTTTTGTAATGATTAATATCAATCAGCTCATAAGTTTCCATACTACCAAATGGTGTTAACTATTGCTTTTGTATAGTATTTCACATGTTTGATTAAAGTATCAAATCTCATGCAAGTGATTGATCCTCATTTTTGCATTTTGATAGGTAGTTGACAAGTTACAGTCTGGCATAAAATGTAAACGAGAGAGTTGGCAAACTGAACTGCCACATATTGGACTTGGGAGAGAAGTCATAGGGAGGTTGACATCTCAGAAAGAAAAAGATGTGAACTGGCAAGGCAGATGCTCTGGTACAGTGTATGTATTCTCTATTCAGCTGATGTATCCAGATTCCTTGATCATTGTCTTGTGATGCACATGTTAGTAGTGCACTTTTCTTGAGGGGAACTATACTATATCCCCTTGGTCTTTCAAAAGGTTCTACTTTGTCGAGTCATCACTCTCCATTTAGGTATGTGGTGGAGACAAGACTGGCCATTGATATCTGGTTCTGGTGTCTCCCATTCTTGTTTCATCACTGTCCATCACTTGATTAAATGGTGATGAACCGATGAACTATGTTTTTTAAGACTCTTCGAAACATAAAAATGCATTCTTTTTAATTGATATCTGGTTCTGGTGGCTCCCATTCTTGTTTCATCACTGTCCGTCACTTGATTAAATGGTGATGAACCAGTGGACTATGTTTTTTAAGACTTTTCTAAACATAAAAATGCATTCTTTTTAATTGTTGTGCAGCTACATTGGTGGGCACGAATCTGAAGGACACTTTCTTTTGACAAATGAGGCCTATTCAATGTCAGTAAGTCGCCATCGTATAAGAATATTTTGTTGCAAACCATTTTAGATTGGGAAAATACCATTAATAATGTCATGTTTATGATATACAATCACAGCCGGTGCATTAAGTTCCTTTTCTCAAGACAGATGCTGGCGATGAGATGCAGTTCTGATGAGGTATGATCACATTGGAACTATGGTTCATCTCCGAAGTTAAGTCTTGAGAATGGATAATAGGTGCCTGAATTGTGTGTTGTTATCAGGGAGTTACTTGAACATATTGAGTGCCTGTGCCCGATATACCTGGGCTGCAAACTTGAGGTGATGCAGAGTGACCTTATTTTTGCTGATGTAAGATTTATATATGTCAGTGATTCTTCAGATGATTTATTTTTTGAGATTTAATAATGCCTTCTCAATTGCATGGTTGTTTTCTTGAATTATTCTGAGCTTTCTTTGAGGGTCTGTATCCAAGTTCTTATATGCAATATAATGCTATCAGTAGATTGCTTCCAAATAGTTTTATGTTCTTAAATCCATATGAGGCTTGTGTAATAATGATGGAACTTAGTTCCTGGCTATCCTGAGTTCCAAATATTTCACTACTTTTGGTTTCGGACTTATTATTGCAATAGCAATAGTGGAAAAACTTTTAAGCTTCAAAAAAAATAGTGGAAAAACTTCCCTAATAAGGAAGTACATAGTTGGTTAGTTTAGAGAACGATGAGGGGCTGGAAAGAGGCACAACTAGCATTAGGGGCTTGACAGTAAGGGGTTTATATGCGAGATAAATATGAGTACGGCTATTTTCAACCATGCACCAGTTTGAAGTGGCAGTGGATGCCTTAGTCACCATGTTCTAGTGTTAGGGACTGGAAAGAGGCACAACTAGTATAAGTGGTTTGACATTGAGGGGTTTATATGCGAGATAAATATGGGTACGGCTATTTTCAACCATGTACCAGTTCGAACTGGCGATGGATGCCTTATTGACCATGTTCTACTGTATGTTTTCCCTTCTGATTTAGTCGGTAATTTGAAATTCATTTACTTTATACAGTTATATTTTTCTCTCAGGTTTTCACATACCAATCCATTGCATCTGGATGTTTTCCCAAGCATTGCTCAGTTTGAAGGAGAAGTAGTTGCCATGACAGCTTCTCTACTTGGCAGCAAAGAGGAGGCTTCTGGAGGTCAAGTTTGCGGTAACATGACTTCAGGAGGAACTGAAAGTATATTGCTTGCTGTTAAGACCACTCGTGATTACATGAAAATAAAAAAGGGAATAAAAAAGCCAGAGATGTGAGTTAAATTTATTTTATGTTGTTTAGATAAGTTTTTGAATTTATGTGTGAGAAAACCTTAATTGAGAAAGGAAAGTACACTATAATCCTATGAACAAATGAAGTGATTGAAGGTTATTCGGAGCCAGTGGTAATTGCCATTGTTTCATGTCCTGTGCTGGAGGCTCCCATTCTATCTCGATCTCCATCAATCCATTGGAAACTGATGCCCCTTAGACCAGAGTCTTACATATCTATTGGACTATAGTTTTCATCTTGAGAATCGTTTGATCTTCGATTGTTACTTTTCTGAGTGCAGGGTGATTCCTGAATCTGCACATTCAGCATATGACAAGGCTGCACAATATTTTAACATTAAGCTGTGGCGGGTCCCTGTAAATGAAGAATTTCAGGCAGATGTCAAGAAGATAAGGCGTTCTATTAACAAGAACACAATTATGGTAATGCATTCTGGGTCATACATGGAATTTTTTTTGATATTAGTCTTATAGGTGTGTATGGGTTTTATTTTTTTTTGATATTAGTCTTATAGGTGTGTATGGGTTTTTCTTGCGTGTATTCTTCTCGAACTGGTAATTTTTATAACTCTATATGCAAACATACTCTCTTTGATATTTGTTTATATGCCGTGACCTTATTGATTTATTGTGCTAATAGTAGAGTTTTATATGATAAGACTTCTTCTTGTATTATTTTCCTATGAGAAAGCGAACTATGTGCTTGATTGCTAGTGTCACAAATCAGGATTTTCTTGGAATATTTTAACAAGTCTTTTTTATTATAATGTCTATTAGCCCATCTTGCTCAATTGATTTTGTTGGAACGGAACCAGGGAAACTTCACTGAAGATAAATAATGTGTAGTTTTAATTGCCGTGAACTTGATTAACTGAAATATCACGTTTTGAGCACTTTTTGAGAAATAAAAAAAAAGTTGTGAATTTCAAATAGCTGAGAATTCTCTGCGGTAGATTACGTAATGAATATCATGGATAAAGTGGTGAACTTGTTACAATTGCACTGTTTGATAAGAACAAGTAGCTCTATGTTGTTTCTCTTCTTCAGGAAAAAGTGCTGATAAGCTGATTTTCTTTGTCATGTATGGTAGATTTTGTTTACATGTACTTTGATCGGTAAAAGTTAAAAAGATTAAGGATAAATGATTACAAAAATGTTTTAGTTTGTAGATATTGCTGATTGAGGAACAATATGATTAATCGTTGACCTACACTGACTGATTAAATATTAAAGAAAGTTGAAATTTGTAACGAGTATTGATTGAGAAAATCCATTTGAGGGCATAGATGATTTGGGAGTGAGACATAAAAATGTCAAAGATTGATTTTACATTGGAACTCCCTCTAGACTGGGGAATCAGCACAAAGGGAAAGTCCAAATTCTGATTTATCGTAAGTCATTTAAATTCTCATTTTATCAAAGTGAGCTAAAACTGATTGAAAGGGCCAGTTTTACTGAAGGTGCATTATATTTTTAGAGAAATCTACTTATGATTTTGATTTTATTGAAGCTGACATGCGGCTTTGTTTTGTACTTTTTTTTTTTAAACTGTGGAATTGTTTCTTGAAACTTTTGATCAGGTTTTTTAATACTTAACTTCTCATATCTTCATCTTTTCTTTAGAATGCTATCCTGTTATATTATCATCTTTAAGAAGAAAATACTTATGTGTTGGTTGCACTAACATTACTTTTGCTGCATGGCTTAGTTTTGTGACATTTGTTCAGGATAAATGCTCTATACTTCTATAATCACTGGTGACATTCATGCATAGAACTTAACTGGACTTGCTTTTCTTGTTTGTTCAGATTGTTGGATCTGCACCAGGGTTTCCTCATGGTATTATTGATCCTATAGAAGTATGTGAGTTCTTATTAATTGGTACTATGGTTTGATTTTCTTTTTTGATCAGTATTATAGTTTTATTTTCTTTCCTGTACTATTATCTTGGAAACTTTCATATGAAGCCTACTTCCATTTGTCTTATCATTAGAACAACACTAAAACAACTCAAACACAGGAACTTGGAGAATTGGCATTGAATTTTGGTATTTGTTTTCACGTGGACCTATGTCTTGGTGGTTTTGTGTTGCCTTTTGCTCGCAAGTTAGGGTAAGTTGCTTGGATTGATTTAAATAGTGTTCCATGTACATTTCCATAATATGCTTTATTTTATGTTACTGCTTGCATGACTGCTATATCTAGCTTTTCAAAATGGGAATGGAAAAAACATACCGGATTCTATTTTGCATGAACAATATTTTCTTAGTCTCTTGTTACCATTTTGTCTTTCATGGCTCTTATGTGCAAAGGTCAATTCCATCTCCAGTACCAAGTTTCATACCATTTGTTTGGTAAAATAAAATACTTCTCTGCATTTTTTTCTCTTTCTTTTTCATAGCCAAGAAAGTCCCCGAAACATTCCAGACCTAGACAACCTTGACCAGACAACTTTCACCAACAAGTTGATAAGAACACATGGCAAACTCCCACCCTTCTTCTTGTACCCTGTCTTGACTACCTGCCATATCCCTTGTCTGCTAAATTCCCAGATGCTACCTGACCTGATATTATTGTTTATGACCTTCGCATTCCTCAATACCCATGTCCAGTTGCCAACTCCTGATTTTATCATTTAAAGAAACTTTTGCAACTCAGCTCTTTTAGCCTCCTTTATATATGTTGTCCAACACACTGCATCACAAATGTTTGAAGCTTTTAGCATAAGCCATAGAGGACATAATGCCCCTTACCACACCCCAAAAAAAAAGGAAACAAAGGACACAATACCTATATTTCAGGTGGTTCTTCGATCATTGTAACCGGAATCCATTTTGAGAAAGGCACCTTTCTTGTCGTACTTTTAAGTTACTGAAGTGTTAAATGCTTTGTTCTACCTCAACTTGTATGTCCTAAAACACCCATCATCTCCTCAGATCCTCCATGAGCTGTTGTTTAGTTCCTTAGACACAAATATACTCTATTAGGGAACTTGTATGAAAGGAATTCAATAGATGCGAGTTTAAGTATACATCATCCTCAGTAAACTATGTTAGGATACCTACACAACCATGGTGCTGTAATTTGTACCTTTAACTGCACACTGAAGTTGAAGTTGGAATAGAATAATTGGCTCGTTTACTTGAATCCTATCTTTGTAAATTTTACTCTTGACATCCATCTGTAGTGTTTAACTGCAAGGATTCTCTCTTGCATTTGATCTATTGTTGAGTTAATTGCTGGCCTTCCTATTTTTGTGATATTTTTTTTGCTAGGTACCCACTTCCATGTTTTGATTTTGCTGTTCAAGGAGTAACATCAATATCAGTAGACGTGCATAAGTATGGGTTAGGTCCAAAGGGAACAAGTGTGGTGCTTTATAGGAATCGTGAAATTCGAAAGGTAATTTTGTAATACTTACATTTGTTAGATTTTAAGACGTTTTATGTTAAATTTAATTGCCATATAAAATAATTTAACAGCTTATCACATGTTCTTTCTCTAGTTAGCATGCCTTGCAATGACCATGTACTATATTTGAGGCGTATATACCTTGTAATTGTTTTTTGATGAAAAATAAGTCTCCTGTCAAACTAAGAACATGTCATTTGATTGTTGCTTTCAACAGTTACACCATATTAGTTATATTGGTAGTTTTCTTCTAGGCATTATCTACAAGGAGTTTCTTTGTAGTTAATGCATAGAAGAAAGCTACCAGCATAAGAAAACTACGAGGAGTTTCCTTATATTTCACATGATTGGGTGTTGTTAAATTTCAGAGGGATCCTCTTCCTTTGTTCTGTTTTATCAGTAGAGGGATGGTCTACTTGAATGGTGATACAAAATTTTCTATTGAAAAGGAATATAAGGAAGGGAATTTTGTACTTGCATAACTTCAAAATATGTAGTCATGTTTCGATCACTCCTACCATTTTTTATTGTTAAGCTCTACCGCCATTTAAAATAATTATGGATGATTTATCAGAAAAAGGAATAGTATAATTATGGACGATTAGTATGGTTGTCATCGATTGAACAGGCACAAGTGTTGGCTATCATTGCTCAAGTTACATTTCTTTCACTGAAAATTTATTTCCTGAATTTCTATTAACTATCATGTTTCCGTACTTGCATTTGACTTGATTCATTTTATCTTTATGGAAAAGTTCCATTTGCATTTGTATGGTGTTTTCTAACTGGTTTGTTGTGTTTCTATTGGTGGCTATATTGAGGCGAATTGCTGTTTGGATCCACAGCACCAATTTGTTGCTGGTAAGTCAAATTCTTTCACATTTTGTTGTATTTGGTTCATGTTTATGGCCGAGGGAAATTGCTGTTAGAGAACTGGGAACTTAATGGTGTGATTAAAACTATAGTTGTTGGAAACGTCTGTGATTCCGAATCGTTTCTGGAATCGGAATCGACGAATCGCGTGTATCAGAAGTTTCGGAATCTAGGAATCGCTGTTTGTACGATTCGGATTTGAGAAAAATGATTCTCACTATTTCGGAATCGCGATTCAAAAAATTAGGAATCATGTTTCCTATTTGCAAGAATCGATGTCCCTTCATGTTGGAATCGCGTTTCATACTTATATGGAATCACACATGACCCCACTTGTTTCGGTGGTTACTGGAATCGTGATTCCTAAAAATATGGAATCATGATTCCTAAAAATATGGAATCATGATTCCTAAAATTCTGGAATCGTTGTCCCCTTCAACTTGGAATCAACATTTCGGAATCATGATTCTCCTCATATTGGAATCGAGATTCTCCCCATACTAGAATTGCAAACCAATTCCCTCTGGTATATGAGAGAAGTATTCAGAAAATATATAAATTTACCCATTACTACAAGATCGAATTTTGGTCTGTATATACTCAGTCTAAGACTCCAAGTACTAATGTCAACCTTTATGATATCTTTGTGGACAATCCCATACAATGGATAATTCCTCTTTGTTAATTGTAGTTTTGAGTCTTTTGACTTTTGAAAATTGAGTTATTCAATTTTTATTCAATTTTTTTGATATTTAATGATTAATTTAACCTAAAACACCACACAGGGCACTTCGCTCATATCATTATTTTCTTATTTTACTTAAAGAAAATCATTTTATCCTCTTATTCAACTTGAAGAAATGACTGTGTCAATCATATATTAAACATTATTACATTAGTAGTTTATTATCCACGCCATTCACCAAACATTATTAAATTTGAAGTAATATATTTTTTTAGTATTATTTATTCTTGGTAAGAGTTCTTAAAAAGTAACATGGAATGAAGGATGGAAATTAGTAAATAAGATAATACAAAATTTTAATTATTATATTTTAAATTTTGATTTTATTGCCGTGTGCAATAACTTCAAATTCTCTCACGCTCTCATACATGTCGTGCTCACTTATGATTGAGCACACATTGAAGGGTTTCTGCTCTCCCTCTGCTCACATATTATTCATATTTTAAATTTTGATTTTATTGCCGTGTGCAACAACTTTAAATTCTCTCACGTGATTGAGCACACATCAAAGGGTTTCTGCTCTCCCTATGCTCACATTGCTTCCTGATAACATGAATGCTCACATTGCTTCCTGAGAACATGAATTCGCAATTCCTTACTGCTTTGAACCAACGTTTAGCATAAGTAGAATCGCATTGTTGTGTAGCAAGGAATCACGATGTCTACGATATAGAAACTTGATTCCAAACAATATGGATTCGCAATTCCAAAAAAATTGGAATCAACATTTCTCACAAGCAGAATTGCATTCTTGTGTAGCTACGAATCACAAGGTCCTCGATATGGAATCTTGATTCCGGCAATCCAGGAATTGAGATTCCTAAACTAGGTGGAATCGCGTTCGGCAAAAAATGGAAATGTGATTCCTTTCTTTTAGAATCGACTTTCACCCGAGGAGATGCCTAATCGAGATTCCGAAACGGAATCGCTACCCTCATAGGCGATTTAGGTAACTATAATTAAAACTATACTAAAGAAAGAGAAAATCCCACACGTGTCCTTAGGACTACATATGCAAAAATATTCACACTCTACATTCCCTTTCCAGTTGGTGCATGTATGTCGTGCATACAGAACTTGCATATAATGCTATGAAGACTGTTGATCCACTGGCTTGGTAAAAGTATCGGCTAGTTGAATTTTAGGTCCTTTTATGTGCAGTGGGTATTATAATGGCTACCACTTTGCCCTAGTAACCATCACCTTTGATGTGCTTTGTGTTCTCATGGAGGGCAGGATTAGTGGTGATCGGGATTGTAGCTTGGTTATCAAATGCATAGGTATAGGCAATGTGATATGCGCTCACATATTGCTTGAGAGTCCCATAGCCATCAAAGCTCACATACTGATGCCATGACTGGATATTATGGTTGTGCACTGCACTGTGTGACTAGACTTCGCTTTCCAAGTAACCAAAATTTCTCCCGCCATGGTGCAATAACTAGTAGTTGATTGGCAATCAATTGGGCAATCTGCCAATTTGGCATCTGTCTAACTGAATAAATCAATAGAAGAATTATGTCTTAATAGTAGCCCCTTATCAGGAGTAACTCTGAGGTTACTCAAAATGTGTGTAACTGTCCCTAAATGTGAAGATTGTGGAGTTCGCGTAAACTGGCTGACGCTGCTAACTATGTAAGGGACATCAGATCATATGATGGTCAAATAAATGAGGCTACCAACCAGCCTCTAGTCCATGCCTACTTGATAATCATTTCCATACGTCACGATGAAACCTTGGATACAATTCTGGCCTTGTATCATTGAATTCTTCCATTCAGTGTAAACTTTAGCTCAAGCCTATCGGCTCCATATGGCCTTCTTTCTAGAGTGGAGATCCACCATGTCTTGTGTACCATTTTCCTCAAGAGCTTAGGTTTCTTTCTCCATTACTGTTTCTTCAATTTGAGTTTTTTGATGGCTTCCTCAAAAGTTATGGGTTCTCAGACAGAATGAACAAGAGCCACCTAGTGAGGAAAGTTCGGTCCTTGTGGATTTATGAGGAGGGGTAGGGATCATCAGTGGCTACGACATCTTAAATAATGGGTTGCCTTGATCTTCTTGAAGAGGTCAATATGGGCCTTTTTGTGATCTCATGTTTGCTACACTAAGGTGTGGATGATGGCACTATCTCTAGTTCTTCTAGTAGAGGTAAATCCAAACTATGATGCTTCCCCTGACTCTCAACCTGAATATTGGGATTCTCTTGAAATATTGGGATTCTCTTGAAAATAACCGACTTTTTCAAGAAAGGTTACATGCCATGAGCAGTGTTACATGAACATTGACAGGTGTCGATATTTAGTATGTATCCAAGTGTCTAGTACATGAGGCAAAAACCTAGTCCCTACTACTTTTCCGACACGTCTGTAAAGGTGAGTAAGAGAGTATAAATATATAAAAATACATATCCAAGTGTCTAGTACATGGGGCAAAAGACCTAGTCCCTAGTACTTCTGCGACATGTTTGTAGATATATAATATAGTATCCAATTGTCATCCCAAAAGTATGTTGGCAGCACAGGAGCGCTAATGCTTCATACCCTAGTGTTTTTTAAGGTTCAAATCCTATATTGAATAGCTTTTAATATTAAAAACTCTACCCTACGTAGCCTACAAGATTTCAATGGCTTTTTATATTATAAAACCTCTACCCCATGTGGCTTACGAGATTTGAATCCATTGAAATCCCCACATGGCTTACAAGATTTTAATTCCTGTAAACCTCCATATGGAATACAAGGCTTGAATCCTTTGAAAATTGGGCCCCAAAAACCAAAGTAATGAGTAGGAATGAAAACTTAGATAGAAGAGCAAACAACATGCCATTCTACTCGGTAAAACGTCAATGCTTTTATGATATGAAATAGTAAGCTATATGTAAGACGCATTAGAATCGCCTCTCTCCTCAACTCTTCTTCATCTCCATGAAGATCATTTCTTGGAATATCAGTGGGTTGGGTCACCCGAACAAAAGGACCGCCATTAAGGACCTGTCTTCCAAACACTGTCCCCTCATTCTAGCCTTAATTAAAACCAAGTGTCCTGAACCATCCCTACTCCAAGTTCGCCAGATTTGGGGTAGATGCCCTTTGCCAGTGGGTTGCTCTACCCGCTGAAGGGGCATCCGGGGTATCTGGGTTATTTGGGAACCCACTGACCACACGCTTGTTTCCTCGTTTGTGGGGGAATTCTCTGTCTCTATCCTGCTGTCCAAGGTATCCGACGGCCTGGAATGGAAATTCACGGCAGTTTACGGCCCTGCACTTCCACGATTAGACCACGCCTCTGGTCTGAACTGGACCATGTCGCGCCTCTCCCCCACCCTATATGGTGCTTGGGTGGGAATTTTAATACAACTCGATGCTCTTTCAAGAGTAATTCCAGCTCGCGTATATCTCAGGGGATGGTTGACTTTTCGAACTTCATCACTAGGAACGAGTTGCTTGACATCCCCCTTCAAGGTAACAAGTTTACCTGGTCAAGCCATTCCTCTCAGCCTGTCCTCTCTAAATTGGATAGGTTCCTGTTTTCTCTGGACTGGGAAGAAATTTTCCTTGGTTCTCATGCCCTAACCTTGCCTAAACCGACTTCTGATCATTGCCCCATTCTTCGGTCTACCATTCCGGTTAATAGGGGCCCTAAACCGTTTAGGTTCGAGCTGGCTTGGATAGAAGAAACGTCCCTTTCCATGTTGCTACCTTCCTGGTGGACTTCTTTTTTAGCCCAGGTCAGCGGAAGAGTTGGCTTCAGACTTCAGTCAAAACTTTAGATACTCAAGGCCATCCTTAAGTCCTGGAGTAAGACTGTCCTAGGAAATTATAACCTTATCATGCCTGACCTCCTAAAGAAAATACAAGTTTTGGATAGCCTAGAAGAATCCCGCCCCCTCTCTTCTCCTGAAGCTGACCTCAGAACCCAGTCCAAACTAGACTTCCTCTCCACCCTGAAAAAGGAGGAGATCTATTGGTATCAGAGATCTAGGGTCAACTGGCTCAAAACTGGAGACCACAATACCCTCTTCTTCCACAGGATTGCTAATTGTCGTAGGAGGGATAATTCTATCTCGTCCATCAAAGTTAACGACCGTCTCCTGGAACAGCCGATCGAGATTGAAGTAGCAATCATCTCTTACTTCCAGAATCTTTATACTGGTCCCTCCGGCCCTAAACCTTCCATCGTCGGCCTGGACTTTTTGTCTCTCTTTGATGATCAGGCCATGTGGTTAGAGCGCCCTTACCTC